GTCCAACATCACTAACACCAAGGAAATGTGAAGTAAAACCACAATGAACTCCTCAGAATGTCTGTCAGAAACACAAAAGCTAACTGCTGGTAAAATGCGAGGAGACGGACTCCTTCAACACTGGCTGGTGGGAATGTAAGCGAGTCGATGCATTTCTGAAATTGATACAGACGTTCTCCAGAAAACTAAAACTCACCCTGTGGACCAGGACTCCCACTGCTAGGTGTATTAAGAAACTGAGGAAATGTTGGAGAAACACAGGTGTTCCTGCAACAGTGTTCAAAACAGCCACAAAATGGAAACCACCTGAGATGGACGGATATGAAAAGAAAACAGGATACACATACACAATGGGACAGCACTAGTGTAAAAAGAAGAAATGAAATCGTACCATAGTGACAGCGTGGGTGGACCCGGAGAACCGCTAGGTAAAGTAAACCAGCCACCAAAAGATCCATAATGCATGGCCTCGCTCACATACGAAGCTGACAACTGATGAACTAATAGAAGTCAAGATGGCAGTCCCCAGAGGCTGGGAGGAAGGACAGAGCAATGGGAGGAGGCTGGTCAGAGGGACAAAGTCTAGGTAAGCCAGAGAGGAAGTTTCGGTGGGCACTGCACAGTACGGCAGCTACTGTTGACAACATACATGTGAAAGTTATGAAAGAATTTAAAGTGTTCTCATCACAAAGAAGTCTATGGTGGTGACAAATGGAGACTAGCTTGATTTAATCATCCGAGATGCATTCACATATCCAAAACACCACAGTCCACTGCATACATACACGCCTTAAGAAACCAGCTTGTGAAGCAAACACTATGCCAACAGTTAGTCTACATTTTAATGTCTACTGATCTGAAAGGCCAAAAATGTCCAAGAGTAAGGAAAGAAGCCATTTCTGCTCTGAATCCCCGAGACCTCTGAATGACTGAAACACTAAGATTTTAACTAGTGCTTCTATCTAAAGCCAGGAAGGAGTGTCGCTATCACCTGGTGTGTGAGGTAAGTAGGAAGGCTAATGACAGTGGGTCACCATCCCCTCCAGGTCCCACGCAGCACAACTGGCTGGAGAAAAGCTGCAGGCCTCATTTGACAGGCTCCCTGACAGCCTGCCTGGCGAGCGTGAGAAACCGCATCCGCACGTCTTCTCCTCTCCAGAGCAGAGACGCTGCACCAGAGGCAGTGTTGGTGCTCCAGCAGGAGAGCCTTGGTGAACTGCTCTGTCAGATCCCCATCTGTAACCCTTGCCAAGGCCAGTGCCATCTGGGCAGAGGACTCTGCCAGGGAAGCTCACAAGCTAAGCATGGCTCCCACCTCCTTCAACCTGGACTTTAAAAAGTGACCTTAAATACACTCCTTTATAATAATGCTAAATTCCAACTTTTCAAATTCATAATAAAAAGTAATGCACATTATAACAATACCAAGTATGTAAAATATAACTAGACACTGAGAACACTAGATAGTTCTCTGATGAACAACTAAATCAAAGTTCACTCATAACTTTGCTGCTAACATCCCTGACGCTGTGTGTCATGGCATGGACTAGGCTTTGTAAGACACCATTAGAACTGGGTTCACATGGCCTTAATTTTTGGTTTTTTTAAAATTACTATTTCATGTTTATGGGTGTTTTGTCTGCATGTATGTCTGTGCACCATGTAAGTGTGCTTGCAGAGCCCAGAAGAGGCATCAGGATCTCCTGAACTGGAGCTACAGATGTGGTGCTGGGACTTGAACCTGGATCCTCTGAAGACCAGCCAGTACTCTTAACCCCTGAGCCATCTCTCCAACATCTATTTTAGATACTGAATAAAAAGCTAGTACAAGCATCGTGGGTGACAGGGAAAGCCACTTTTCCCAAGGAAGGCAGCCTCTGCTCTGAAGAGTTAAAGGTTACCTGTTTCAACACATTTCAGCTGCTTAATTAAGTAACATTACTGAGTAAGAAAATCTTGACAGCTAATACACTGTAACCATCAACAAATGTATCTAACACATTTGGGATCAAAATGTGAGAACAGAACAAAGAGGAAAATGAGAAAACAAATTCCTTATCTCTGCAGCCACTTCACGTGAGGAACTGCAGTCAAACACCCATGACGTCACGACTTGTCTCTCAATTCCCTAGGCTGTGCCTTACTCACAAAACTCAAGCACATCATCATCACCATTTTGATTATTTTGTTTTTTGGGGGGTTGTTTTGTTTTGTTTTGTTTGGAGATACAAATGGAAAGAAACTGGCATTGCTGTGCCCAGTTTTCTGCACAAACCAGAAAATAAAAATGCATGTGTATATGAGCATGTGTGAAAACATGTTGACATATGCAAGTTCAAACGCACATGTACACGTATGGGCACATATGTGCAGAAACAAACACTGGCTGTCTTCTGTCAGTCAGTCTTGACCTCATTTTTTGAGACAAGGTCTCTACCTGAACCTGGAGCTTGCCAAACTGACTAGACTATCTACGCAGCAAACCCCAGGGCCAGGAATCCCACTGTCTCAGAACCACATCACGAGGATTCCGCGCACACCACCACACCTGGCTTGCTCTCAGGTCCTCACGATTGTACACCAAGCACTTTACTGAATAAACCATCTTCCTGGCAGCTACCCCAAAATGTTTAAGGCACATGGTTGGTGAAAAAATAAATTGTAAAAAAAATAAAGAGGCCAGCAAGATGGTAAAGCCACGACCACTAAGCCTGAAACAGTCCATCCTGGACCTCAGATGCTGGAAGGAGAGAACCAACTCTCCCTTGATGTCCTCTGACTTCCAACAAGCACCATGACATTCTGGAACCCACACACATGCGTGCACATAGATAAACATGAATAAATACACGCAACAGAGGCTTAAAATAACCAATCTGGTAACAAAACATTAAGTTTCTTTTCCTTAAAGAAATCACTGCGAGCTTCAGCTGGAGAGAGCGAGACAGTCTTGCTTACTATCACAATTCAGCCTGAAACAACCTCTTGGGGGGAAAAAACTTTGGTATTAAGTACTAAGAACAAAAGCTAACTTGGAATTTAAGCTGTTTTGTTTCCTGTTTGTAATTTTAAAATGTTTTCTGTCTCCTATCTTTGAGAATTTGGTGGAAATTAAATGTGTAAGTCCTAGAATTGCTCAAAGGTACAAGGTCTTTCCCTCGAAGGCTCTTACACACTTCTGTCTGTGGAACACTAGGTCTTTCCCTGTAGAGGCCTCTCCCCTCACACAGTCACAAACTTGTGGCTGAGTTAAAGCCATTCCTTTCTCCAGGAACTTCCTAAAACATAATGGCTGAATAAATTAGAGTTTTGCATGTGTTGTTTGGTTTTTATTGTCTCCTGGGATAATTATGAGTTTATGAGTGTGATATATTGACCTTGAAAGAATCCTATATTTTCCTCTACTATATTTTTGAGTAACTGGAAGAGATTTTTTACTCTTTAAAATCAGCACAAAATAAGACATGATTGATTTTTCCCCCTTCAAGGGTTAACCTATTTGTTATCACACATGAAACTTCAGACTCATCCTCTCAGTAACCAATACTTGACCTGCTTTGTGTCAAGGGACTGTTCTAGGTGTCTGGGTCAGGCCCAGGTGCCTAGGTCAGTGGCTCTGAGAGCATCTCTGGGCAAGCTCAGAACCGTAAGTCATAACAGCAACCAACCTTTGGAAAGCTGCAAACAAGGATGTAATGCTCAATTTCCTTGAAAGCAATTTCTTACAGTTTACACCCTGGTTATCTTAATGCAGAGCAGGAGTCTGAAAAATACTGTAACATAAACGAAACCCAGGAGTGTGGAGAGAATGAAATCCTTTGACAAAGGTCAAGAAAAAGTAAAAATTGCTCTCCCACCCAATAAGGAAATTAAGTCATTAAAATGACAAGGCTGGCACCATCAAGGAAGCCAATATCCCCATCTTTAAAGAGCTGTGAGGCTTTCTAAAATCGCCCCAGCCACCATCCAATTACCTGCAGCAATTTCGAGGACATCAAAGATAAATTATTAACCAAAACGGTAACACTTTAATCACCATAAATCACTGTATGTCCAATTCCAATTAAATACACTTTCCAAACATGATTGGATAACTTCTGCAATTTCTCCCAAGAAACATACAGTAAAAGACTGTCCTTCCAGGAAAGAAAAGCTATACAGGGTCATCACAGGGCTGGAGTGCATGTGGTACTACCAACCTTTCACTCGGTGAAGGTACAAACATAAACAACAAGATTTACACACAGAAGTGGCCGCAAGCTCATCCACCTGAGCGTTCCTAGCAAAACGCTCTAAAACAGTTTTCTAGATTTACAGCACTGCCCAGGAATTTAAAAAAAAAAAAAAGGAAAGAGAGACATCCCTGGAGAGCTGCCACTCAAGGACCACAGAGAGTGTTCAGCACGGAACATCAGGCAGCGGGGAAAAGACAACCCCGAGGCGTTATCCCCAGAAAGCGGGCTTCACAAGCCCCAGTCTCAAGCCTTAGGAGTTTTCTAACGCAAGCATTAAGGGTGGAGAATCCAGTCACACCGCCCAATTTCGGGCCTGCAGAGCAGCAGATGAAGACGTGAGATCCGGAGGGGCTTGGCCCTCGCCGGTTTGAGCCTGGACCTTGCCTGACCACCTACTGGGGGCCGAGTCCGACCTGGAAACGACGCTGGGGAATTCCGAGGGCCAGCGTTCCGGACTGGACAGGTGTCCCCGGCCAACGGGGACTACCAACGTGCCACCTGCACACGAGCCAGAAAAGCCACTGGTTCTCGTGGAAACCATCACCAGGTGTGGGTGGGATCCACCCGCCGGCCACGAGGAGACATCGAGAGGCGGCTTCCCGGGACAAGGAGCGGCGCTCCACAACCGGCAGGGAGGCGGCGGTCGCCCTAGACAGCGACAGCTACCGAGACCCCCGACCCCGGCCCCCCCGGCTGCCCCCGACCCCGGCCTCCTCCACCCCGGCCCGGCCTCCCCCACCCCGGCCCGGCCCCGCGCTCACCCACCTCCAGGCGCAGGGACGCCCCGCAGGCGCGCAGGAACTCGCGGATGTTGCTCAGGCACTCGCTCTCGTTCCGCGGCTCCGGGTAGACCTGCAACACACAGCGTCGCTGAGCGGCCCGGACGCCTCATCCGCTCCCTTCCTCGGGCTGTACCAATCTCCGCCCCTGCCCGCACCCGGAAGCGCGCCCGGGCCGGAAGTGACGTCGTCAAACCGCGCCCCCGCGGGGTGCTGAGTCTCCAGCCGCCGCTCCTTTTTTTTTTCCCCGCCCCAGCCCTGCTCCAGCCCCACGCGCGCCCTCCCTCCTCCTTTCCCGCCCGCCTCCCCCCTCTCCACGCGCGCGCCACCTCCTCCAGACCCCGCTTCCGCCTCACGCGCGCCCTCCTCCTCCTCCTCCTCCTCCTCGGTCTCCCGGGCCCGGTTTCCCCGTCCACGCGCGCCACCTCCTGGCCCTGCCCCGGCCCTGCCTCCTCCAGACCTCCGCGCCCTCCCTAAGCCATCTCTTGCAGGCCCTGCTCCCACGGGCCACCTCCTCCCTGGTGGGCTCCCCCGTCCTAGGCGGACTGCCTCCCGACCTGCAGCAGCCTAGTAGCCGCACCTCGTCCTCAGTGCACAGAACTCTCCCGCGGCTGCTCGAGCAGCCAGCCCCAGGGAGGTTTGAGAGAACGTCCGCTCTTTCTCACCCAGGCTCCAGGAAGGGGTCGTTTTCATTCTACAGCCATAGCTTAAAAAGAATGAGCAGGTCGGCATGAAAGTGCCAGGATTTCTTTTCCTAAACACAGGCCTGTGTGCTTTATGAATGATTAACCAGAAGAGCCGGCTAGTGTGGGGAAGGCATCAGAGAAAGCTGGTGTTGCTAGCCTGCATCGGGAGCAGCAAGGGAAGGCGCCGACCAAGGAATCCGAGAGGCATCCTGCAACGTTTACCATATGTGTTATGTTATGCACCCAACCGTGCCAGCCACTAAGGGAAACCGGAGCAGAATCGTGACCAGAACAATCTAAAACTCCAACAGAAAAGTGTTTAATTCTTAAAAGGTATTAAATCTAAGGATTTATAAAGAAAAATTTTCTGAAGTGGATTAGAAGAATTAAATGTTGGTGTTTAAATCATCATCTAGAATTTTAACACTGAAAATATTCAAGATGATTCCTTATAAGGAGAAATCACAGCATCCATCCACTTCACTCAGGAATACAGTGGTCTCTTTGCAAAGTGCTTGGGTCTCTAAAAAAACTGCAAGTGTTCAGAAACACTGAGAGTAATGAGCCCCGACCCTCAGCTGAAATATTCTTGGGAATAAAAGGCCCTCCACATTGTCTTCCTTTGTTTGTTTTTCTTTTGCAAGACACCCATCCATAAAGTCATCACAGACTTATTTGTGAACTTTCACACTTAACCCCAGGATAAATACAGCACATTCTCGTGGACATGTTGCTTTCCGTGTGCATTCCCTGCTCCAAGTGAGCAAAGCCGTGCTCGCTTGCTTTAGTCCTCCAACTGTGAGCAGGTGCCAGTTTCTCATGGTCAGTGCCATGTCTGTCTGCTTACGTACCTTCAGCTGGCAACCGCACTCTTTTAATGGCCTCCAAACATACTAAAGTGCTATTTGAGTTCCTAAGGTCAAGGAGATAGTGATGTGTTTGTGGAAGAAAAATCTATGTTAGACAAGCATCTGGGCCTGAGTTACAATGCTGTTAGCTGTGAGTGAAAAACAGCCCGAAGAAAAGGAGATGTCGGGGGACCAGGCTACTCCAGAAAGTGCTTGATGAAGCTATGGAGAAAATGGAAAAGCAGCAAAAGTGTGGATTCTTGAGATGATGACCAAAAAAAAAAAAAAAAAAAAAAAACAAAAAAACACAAATAGACATCATTGGGAGTCTGGAAGCTAAAGAGATTTACAGTTACATTACCCGGGGTCAGAAACACAAGTCTTCTCAGCTATCTGGCTG